CCCCCCACCTGGGCTGGGTCTGGGGTTGTGGCTGGGGCTGGGTGGGCACCAGAGGACAGGCTGTGCCACAGGGAGGGCCAGGAGGCTGGGGCACTTTCCCCGGGCATCCTTGCTGAGGCAGGTCCTGGCCCCTCCTGTTTTTCAGAATGTGACTGCGACACAATCCCAGTGCCCCGGTGCCATCTGGTATGGAGACCCTGCTCCCCTCCACCCTCTCTCTCTTCTCCCCCTTCCCTCTCTTCCCTGTCTCCTCCCCCTGGAGACCCTACTCCTTTAATGTAGTGTCAAGAGCTCCGGTAACAAGTCAGCATCCTTCCCTAAGCTCTGCCCCTGGCTTTCTGGGCACGTGCCCACAGCATAGAATGGGCTGACTGTGCTTCAGAGTCATGGCGAGGACTCGGCACGAGGAGGATGGCCACAGTCATATTACGATGATGACGCTGTAGGCAATGGCGGTGGGGATGGTGAGGGTGACGGTCACAAAGTAACACTGATGACAGTGACGATGGGGACAGTGAAGGTGACGATGAGGATGAGTCAGGAGGTGCACTAGCTGATGCGTATCAAGAGTTACTACAGCCCAGGCCTTCGCAGGCCCGCATGTGTGTTGTCGTATTAATCCTCACGAGAGCCCCACGCATCGATTCTGTGATGGTCTGGGTGACACAAACAAGGAAAGTCAGGGTAAGGCCGCAAAGCCGGTGAACACAGTGCTGGGCCGGGGCCAAGACCGCGCCCTTACCATCAGTGGGCACAGCCACAGAGGGCCTGAAAGTACTTTAAGAAACACGTCTGGTTTAGATATACCCTTCCCCCGGGTACATCCCATCCTGCCCCTTCTCCCTGAAATTAGTGAAGAAGGGAGGAAGTAGGATGAGCCCAGTGGGGCTCAGGGTCTCCTGCTGGGAGGGGAGGCCAGAGGGGACACTCCTAGGCAGAGGGTTCAGGAGCCAACAGCATGTCCCCCCCTAGTGGAAGGGTGGCTCAGCTTCCAGGAAGCTGAGGGCCCTCAGGCCTGCCAGCCCCACTCCACCCCTGCAGGAAGGGGGTCAACACAAGGGACCAGGTGGTGGTCTGCTCCTGATGGTGGGTCCCAGTGCCACCTGGGGTGCTGACCGCCTCGCCCTTCCAGTGGGAGAAGTCCCAGCTGGACGAGGAGTTCCTGCGCAGCGAGGAGAACGTGTGCGGCTGCGCCAAGTACGAGTGCGGTGAGTGCGGGAAGGCCGGGGGCAGGGCCAGCCCCGGCAAGCACGGATGGCGCAGGCGGGCTGGGCACGTGTGCGTGGCCACCCTGGACGGTGCTGTCGCCCCGCATGCCCATCCAGTGAAGGCCCCGGTGTGTCTGAGCCGCGAGCTGGGGGTGATGCAGCCAGGACAGACGGTGGTGGAGCTCTCGGCAGACGGCGTGTGCCATACCTCCCGCTGCACGGACGCGCTGGACCCCCTCACCAGCTTCTACCAGATCAACACCACCTCCGTGCTGTGTGACGTCCACTGCGAGGCGGTAGGGGCGCACGGGCGCGGGTGTCAGGAGCGCTGGCTTGGATGTTCCTGGTCCAGGAATCACAGGGGCCTAGGAACTTGCCCTGAGCCCCAGAGACAAGCCTAGAAAGGGGGTAGCAGAGGGGCCCTCGGAGACCTCTGTAGAAAGTGCTGAGAACGGCCCCGGGGTAAGCCTGGGAGGAGACTGTAAGAGCGAATGGATAGTTACGGCGGGCGAGCGTGGGTATTTCACAGAGAGAATACCCTTTTATTAAGCACCGACTGAGAGCCTGGGCGTTTCCTGTCCTTTTGGTTTATGTGTTTGTGTTGCAACCTTTTGTCAAATTCTTCTACACGCCCAGGACCTAGGACAGCGCCTGGCTTCTTACAAGGGCAATGTAAATATTTGCTAACTGAAAGGGGTTATACTTATTCTCATTTTTCAGATGAGAAAATGGAAATTTAGGGTTTTTTTGTGTTTTTTTTTTTTTTTTTTAATAATTGATCAAAAGTTGCCCAGGAACTGGGACTCACATTGAGGTCTGTCTGGAACCAGAACTGGCGGCCTTCCTTACTAGAAATGCTGCCTCTCGAAGGCGGAAGTGCCCTCTGTCCCCATGGCTGGGTCTAAGAGTTGCATTCAGGGAGGTGAAGGGCAGGTTCAAGGACGACCTGCCTGCCTGAGAGGGAAGGTGCTCGGAGTTCCTCTCCCACGGCCCTTGCAGGGGCCCTGCTCAGACCCTGAGCTTGCCTGGAGACCAGCAGACAGTGGGAGAGCGCCAGGGTGGAGGTGGGCCCCTGCTGAGGCCGTCCTGTCCCTCCTGCCTGCAGAACCAGGAGTACGAGCACCCGCGGGACCTGGCAGCCTGCTGCGGCACCTGCAGGAACGTGTCCTGCCTCTTCACCTTCCCCAATGGCACCACCTCCCTGTTCTTGGTACGCAGCCCCCTGACCGCCCACCTGGGCAGTGGCCCAGAAGGAGATGCATGGACCAAGGTCCTCTCTGGCTCCCACACCAGAGCTAGGTACAGATGGGGTCCCGGGCAGTGCCAGGGCCCAAGCTGCACCTGTCCTCGAAGCTGTGCCCCGCCGGCTCCCCCAGGCTGTCCTCTGGGCACACATGCCCATGGCCCATTTCTGTGCCCTCCAGCCCGGGGCATCCTGGATCGCAGAGTGCGCCCGCCACCACTGCAGCAGCACCCCCCTGGGCGCCGTGCTCGTCCGCTCACCCATCAGCTGCCCGCCGCTCAACGAGACCGAGTGTGCCAAGGTCAGTTCCTCGTTCTGCTGCAGCGTGGCCCGAGGCCAGGGGCCTCAGCTGTCTCCGTGGTGGTGTGGGCGGGACGGGCGAGGAGGGGCTCCCTGGGAGTCCGTGCCTACACTGTCACTGCAGACCCACACTTCCCCCATGCTTGTTTTCTTGTTTTTGCTTTTGCCACATCACACTCCGCATTCTCTTATATCACGTGACCACACATGACTGCATGCAGACATACACAGTTCCCATGATCTAAGCACACATGTGTAGACAGCACACAGGCAGTCAGCCATTCACATGCCACACTCCACAGAGATGTTCAAACACTCTGCACACACCATGCACCGGCATGCCCCGGGGCACTCAGATAGACACACTCTGGTACATGCGCACCACGCAGGCACACGGTTCAGTCCTGTGACGGCTGGCGGGTATCTGCACTAGCTTGGACAGACAGCTGTCAGCATGGGCACGCCTCGAGAAAAGGGATTTCCTAGGGGCCAGCATTTGGCATGGTGGTTCAGGCGCTGGATCTCTTGTGGTTGACCGCAGTTTGAATCCTAGACCTGGTGGCTTGAAAATAACACCGGGTGCAAGCGGATGTGCACCCAGAGCCCCTTTCTCCATCAACCCCACATGCTCTATGGTGTAAAAATCTTGGAAAAAAAGAAAGAAAAGGAATTTTCTTAAAGTTCCTGAGACTAACATTGGACATTTGAAATTTTCTTTTTTTCAAGAATTATTTTACTTTATTTATTTCTTTATTTAAATTTGACCAAAGAGGGACAGAGAGAAAGAGAGAGGGAAAATGAGAAAGCAAGCCACCAGATCTGGGACTCGAACTACAGTTGGCCACATGGGAATCCAGTGCCCTCAACCACCATGCCACCTGCCAACCCTGACATTTGAAAATTTCTAATTCTTTTGAAGAAAAGATACATACATGCACTGGATCATACTCTCACCCACATACTCACATACAGATCCCACACATATACACACACACTCATGTGTACACTCACAAAATCACACACACGCTCACATAATTTGCAAAGAACTGTCGTATCCACATTTTATCCATTTTGCAGTAGAGGAGGAGCCCCATAAGGGATAATTGTCCCATTTTAGAAAACTAAGCCCAGGGGAAGAGGCAACTTACCCAGGGCTGGAATAGAACCCAGGCCACTGACCCAAGTGGGCCAGCCCTGCCCACCCTCTCCCCGGCCCTCAGAGCAGTGGGCAGGCCCCAAGAGACAGGAGGCTCTGGCCATCTCTGCCAGGGCTCCAGCCTCACCGGAGTAGCGGTGGCCTTCACACCATTTTCATACCAGATCAACAAGTCAGGTTAGCCCCTCTGGCTGACATGGCTGCCCAGGGCCCATTCCCCCTCTGGCCAGGTGATGGACAGCAGGAGCTGGAGCTTAGCCCTGGGGCATCTTGAGAAGAAAAGAGTCGAGACTCTCGGGCTCTTCCTGCCCTTGCTGAGGTCTTGGCTCCTGTCCCCCTCCTTCCCTCTAGGTTGGGGGCTCGGTGGTACCCTCCTTGGAAGGATGCTGCAGGACATGTGAGTGGAAATGGTGGAGGCCCAGGGCTGAGGGGTGAGGTAGAGGAGGGACAGGGTGTCAAGTCAACAGTCAGAGGGCAGGACCTGGCCCAGCACTTACAATGGTAGCTGTTCAGGGGAGAGCTACTCCCCAAGGGACAAGTCCCAGCCACTGGCTCACGGCACAAACACGCACGTGGTCAGAGGCTATGCTCCTGTCCTTACATCAATACCAACCTTGCTTCTTGCTGGAATTGCCTCCTGGCATTGCCTTCAGGAGGTCGGCAGCTCCCCAGGTCCTCTGCCTGCTTCTGGCCCCATGAAGGCCCCAGTCCAGGTGCCTGCCACATGTGCTCTCCCTGTGTCAGGAGCTCTGGTCTTGGAGGGGCCTCCTGGGTGGTACTCAGCCTCCTGGATACCCAAACCCTGCAGCTCCCACCCACATGGGTGCCTGTCTCAGTCAGCCTCAAGAGCTTCTCCTAGCGCACTCAGACCCCGTCCTCAGAGGGTTGTAGAACTAGGGATTATGTCCCTATCCCATATTGAAGGAAGCTGTGCTCAAGGCCTCACTGGCTGGTCCCTGACCCACAACCTCATGTTCCCTGAATGTCCCATGTGCCCCTGTGTGACCTGCGACCCATGTCCCTCTTCCCAGGTTCCCCTGGGACCCTGTTTCCCGTGGTCCCTGTTAGCCCTGCCTCTCCTCCATGGGTTAGTGTCCACTGCCATCCAGGTACTCCTCTTGGGAGCCCACTGGACTGGAGACGGGTGGCCACATGACTCTTTTCAACAATGTCCTTTCAGCTAGGTGGCCACAGCTCTGGGGGTGGGGGAGGGAGAGGGGGTTGCCATTCAGCCCACAGTGCATGCTGGGTAGTGAGCCACGTCCCTGGGCTTGCATGGGAAGCTTCAGCAGTGTTACTCACCCGGCACCCACCAATGCCCGATGCTGCCACCACTTCGCTCCCACTGGTCACTCAGCCAGTCTCTGTCCAGAGCCCAGAGGGACAGGCCAGGACAGACCTCATGTCTCCTGCCCCCTGGGAGGAGAGTGGGAGGACAAGGACATAGTTCTGGCCAGGAGCAGTCCAGCCGGTGTGGTAGACAGTCCAGCCGGTGTGGTGAAGTCCAGAGGCCAGAGAAAGGATCCCACCCCTTTTCTGGAGTCTCCCTGGGGTCACAGAGCAAATCTAGGCATCCAGCAAACACACCGGCCACGTGCCAGGCACTGTCCCGGGCACTATGGGCAGCACAAGCCAGACCTCGAGCTGACATGTTCGTGGAGAGACAGAGACAGGGAGAACATGTTTGGGGCAGAGGCACTAAGTGTTGTGGAGCTGGAGCTGCTGCAGTTACAGGGACCTCCTTAAGAAAGGACACAAAATTACACATCTAAATTGAGGTGTGAAATGAACGTTTATCTCAAATTAGAAAACAGCTCACTACAAATTGTGGTAGGGCCAGGAGAGAAGGCCCTAGCACTTAGGCTCCAACAGCGGGAGCTCCCTGAGTGTCTGAGAGGACAGTGACAGTGCCCTGGAGAAAAGCCAGGCCAGAGAGGGCTCGCGTGGGTAGAGAGGAGGTGTTGAGATCTCAGCAGGAGGATGAGGCCCAGGGGAGATGCTGGCACAGCTTGCCAGAGGATGTGAAGGCACAAACAAGCTACGTCGTCAGGTGTCTGTGAGACGCTGGGCCCAGCAGAGCAGCCTCCATGCTTGTCAGCTGTCCGTCCCCGCCACAGCTCTGTGAGGGGGGCTAGTCCTGTCTGCTAGGTGTGGAAATGAGTGAACCAGTGGTGTGCAATGTCGGACGGGGGGCTGGGCTTTCTGTTCATCCAGAGAATGGTGGAATCTTAGTGCCGGAAAACTGAGTAGGAAAATTGAAGCTCAGAGAGGAGGGACATGCCCAGCGTCACCAAAAGGGGTTAGAGCTGGTGTTGGGGCTGGGATAGAGAGGTAGTGGATAGTGGACCTGTCCCCCAGTCCTCTTTCCTAGCAGAGTCCCCGAGGGCAGTTCCACTGGCCATCCCAGACACCCTGTCTCACTGCCCACCCTACCCACCCCATTCCGCCCCTTACAAGCCACTAAGTTACAGCTCTCCCCTGATGGTAAGGGTGCTCATGCATGGCCCTCACACTGGAAAGGGGGTGATCCAGCATGACACTAACTGCCCTAGGCTGCTCCCAGGAAGCCAGCCTGGGTCACACCTGCCCTGCTCCCTTTTCCCTCCAGGTAAGGAGGATGGGCGCTCCTGCAAGAAGGTGACGATCCGCATGACCATCCGCAAGAATGACTGCAGGAGCCATACCCCTGTGCGTGGGGCCCATGGCCTGCCTGTCCCCAGGTGAACCTCGTGTCCTGTGATGGCAGGTGCCCATCCGCCAGCATCTACAACTACAACATCAACACCTACGCTCGCTTCTGCAAGTGCTGCCGCGAGGTGGGCCTGCAGCGGCGCTCGGTGCAGCTCTTCTGTGCCGCCAATGCCACCTGGGTGCCCTACATGGTGCAGGAGCCCACCGACTGTGCCTGCCAGTGGTCCTGAGGCCTGGGCCAGGGCTGGCTGGACCACCTTGCACTCCACCGTCTGCTTCCAGCTGGCCCGGTGCAGATGGGGGCGTGGGGATTGAAGACGGTGGAAAGCTGGTACATGCTGAGCGTGGAGTGGTGGGCAGAGGCCCTGAGAACAACCAGAACAGGCCACGCTGCCATCCTGGCTCCCTTTCTGGACTCTCCTCCTCACAGAGGGAAGTGCCACTGCTGAGGGCTCAGGGCACTCAGCTCTATCTCTGGCTTGAGGTCAGGAATGGGTCGTAGGTCCAGGGGCAGTAGCCCCTGTGCATCTGAGACTGGCTGCAGTTCTTTGGTGGCAGAAGTGAGAGCTGGAACCAGAGCCAGGCCCAAGACCAAGCACAGGTTCAGGATGTAGTGGCCTGTTCCCTCTCCTGGCCCTTTGACCATGGGAGAAACAGGAAAGAGGGTTTTAATTGCAACATCCAGGCCTGAGTATAGCTGCCATGAAAACTTTGCAAGAGCAAAGAAGGTGGGTTTGAGAGCCCGGGTTCTCTCACTTCTATCTGTGAAGTCAGACATCGAGACTAAGGAGTGGGCTCAGCACCCTTCCAGTCCCCTGTAGCCCCCAAAAGGATTCCCTGGTGTTCAGATAATCAGGGCAGGATCTAGAAGGGTACCCCAGAAACTGGCCTTGCAGCAGGTGTACTGGCTCTTGTGAGGTGGAGGGGGCAGGGGCGGTGGCCAAGAATGAATTCCTCTGCACAGGTCCAGAATTCTCATCTGGGGTGCTAGTAGGTGGCCCAGCTTTCTAGGGCGCTGTATTGCTGGGTACTTTTGGCCTGCAGCTCCGAACTTTGCCGTGTGCCTTTTCTCCAAGGACATAGCAGAATCCATCTCTAGAGGGGGTCTGAGTGTGGCCCTGTGGCTCAGCCATTCCCAGACTCTGCTCCATGGGCCTGTTTAGTAGGAGAGCATCTATCCATGGACAAGGCAGCCCTGTGAATGTACAGCCAGTGTCCCTGAGCACCTGTCAGAGCCTTGTCTCCAAATCAGAGCATCCTTCTGAAAGCCAGGGCCAGAGTACCCCTCCACACTCCATTCCACAGGTCTGCTGCCACCCCCTCCTCTATGCCACTTCATGCAGCTTGGTCCAGAGGGCATGAACGTGAGGTTGCTCAGGCCCTGGCACTGCCTGGCATATGTGATTATCCTGGTGCTCCTTGGGAGGAGCGGGCTGTGCCTGAATGGCCCCTAGGTATCCCTGCAGCCTCTTTGTTCTTGAATCTGTGTCAATAAACTATATAAGACTCCAGGCTTCCAAGTATCTTTGTGGGTGTTAGGTCTGCTTTGAATCTGAAGGTGTGTAAGCTGTGAAGAGAAGACCCTACCTGATGACCTGGAGGTCAGCCTGACTTCTCCATGTACTACCCATGCCAGGCCCTGGACCCCACTCAGAACAGGGCCTCAGTGAGTGTCTACTGGTTTGAACTGAACTAAACAGACAATGGCTTCTAGAGGAAGGGGAAGGAAGAGGACATTGGGTATTAGGGTGCTGACACCTAGGTGAGGGGACTGAGGAGTGATCTCACCTTGGCAGGGCCAAGAGCAGATGTCTCTCATGCCAAGTATGAATGGGACAGACCCTTAGAGTAGATTTCATGTGGAGCTCTCACTGTTTCTGTATTCATTTCCTTGTTCTCCCAAAGAGCGCAGTAAGTTTTTGCAGCTATAAATGCTAGGGTTAGAGGAATTCAGAGATGGGTTCTTCATGACTGTTCAGCTTTAAAGGATCATTGGCACACCTAAGGAGCAAATGGGAGGTGCTTTCCTGGTTAGCCCATGTGGGAGGGGGAGAAATAGGAGGCCAGAGAAACACCTCTCTGTAAGAGGGGGAAACTACTAGGGCCTGAATTAGTGCTTGGAATTCAAGAGTTTCACTCCACTCAAAGAGGACAGAGCATCCCTTTTTGAAGCTAGCATTTGTAAGTTTTAGGATTTATTTCACCTATAAGTTTTCCCCCTTATGGCACATTTGCTAACATGGACCCTGGGACTTTTCCTAATAAAAAAAGAGCTTTACAGCCTCTTAAGCAACACGCTTATAAATAAGCAATGAGTCAAAGAAGAAATCAGAATGGAAATTAGACCACTTTTTGATCTGCATGATTATGAAAGTATGACATAGTAAACTTGGGAGATGCAGCTAAAGCAGTACTTAGAGGGACATTTATAGCCTTAGGTACATGCAAGATGACTTCAAAAAGTGTATGGAAAATAGAATTAAAGTAAAAATCTATTTTGGTGCCAAAAATGTTGAAATCATGAATAATCATAAAACAGATTTTCCATTACTTTTTGAAGATCCTCATACTTTATGCTTTTAAATTTTCCACCATTACAGTCAGAGATGGAATAGGATAGAGCTTCTAAACTTTCCCATCATTCATGATGATCAGTGACTTATAATCAGTCATTTGTTTACCCCTAACACACTTCCTAAATCACTTATTAGTAGCTCTCAGAGTTTCATACCCTGAGCTCAACAGAACCTGTCTTAAAACATACCTTTAAAGAGAACTGATTTAAAATACTGATTCTATTATATAGAAAGATGCTTGGGTTAAGATACCTGATCATTCTTTAGTCATTGTCAGAATCTCAGTTTTGCCAGTTGTGCATCCCTCATCTCACCTCCATTCCCAACTCTTTATGTCCAGGTATGAGGAAACAGCTTTTGAATAGGGCCACTCCTGGTCAGCGTCTGTGCAGATGAAGCAGAGGCCAACAGGTCAAGTCAACCATCCTTTACCTTACAATCTTTTTGGAGTCTTGGTTTGGGAGGGTGGCCCCAGGCTTTCAGATCCCCGTTCCCTATATTTTCTCTGTCATTGGTGGCTTAAATTTAGTAGCCTGGCCCTCCTCGCTTCAGTTGCCAGCAATTCCCAGCCCTCCTTCTTCACGTCCCCCCATAAACTCAGAGGTAGCCATCGCTTCTGATGATCACACCCCACTGTGAAAATCGAAGTGTGCCCAGCTGTTCATCCATCCTTCACCTCACCTCCACTCCCATTCGGGCACTCCCTCCTGCTTGCTCCTACTCGAAGCCAGTCTCCCACTCCAACCCTCTGGCCCATACTCCCAGTCCTGTTTTTCCAGCTGCCTCCTGGAGAAACCAATTCCGTTAGGCTAAAATGCTTTATCGAGAGATTAGCAAGAGGCAAATCACCACCCTGCTCTGCACAGTGGGGAAAGCAGGAAAGGGTGACTCTTTGAATCTTGTTCAGGTTATCTTTGAACCTTATCTTTGAACCTTTTTGCTCTCCAAAAACCTATGTCAGATGTGTCAGTATGAGTGTTCATAGATAAAATATGGAACTTTAAGTAAAAAATGCTTTGACTCAATCAACTTCTAGGCAGCTGAACAGGCTGAATAATGGCCCTCCAAAGATGTCCACATTCTAATCCCTGGAACCCGTGACTCCATTACCATACATGGATGTGATTAAGTTGAGGATCTTGGGGTGGGGAGTTGTCTGGATTATCTAGGTGGGCCCAGTATGATCACAGGGTCCTTATTAGAAGGGAGGCAAGAGGATCTGAGTCAGAGAGAGATGTAATGACAGATGTAGAGGTCAGAGCAATGCACTTTGAAGTTGGAAGAAGAGGCCACTGGCCAAGGAACACAGATGGCCTCTAGAAACTGGAATCGAAGGAAACAGATCCTTCCTGGAGCCTCCGGGAGCACAGGCCTGCTGACCCCTCGGATTAAGCCCAGTGGAACGAAGTACAGACTTCTGACTTCCAGAACTGCAAGAGAATAGATTTGTGTTGTTTTAAGCCATTAAACAAGTTACCATTAAAGAGGTTACAACAGCAACAGGAAACTCATACAGCACCTAAAGAAACAATCTGTATAAAGAGGTGTGTGCCAGGTGTGTGTTGCAACATTGTCCCAAGTTGGAAAAAATGGGAACTTCAAATGCCTATCAGGAGTGAAGGGCAGACCTGGTACGGGCACACTGGAATATTGTATAGCTTTCCACTGGACTGACATGTCAGCCTCTCCAGGATATGGTATGAAGAAAGGAAATTTTGAGTTAGTCTCCAGAGTGACCCACAACCTTTTTCATCTTCGCAGTACACACACTATATGTTGGTCTCCTTCCCTTGAAGGGTTTTCAGGACTGAGGAGGGCCCTTCCTAGCTGTTAAGGCCCGTTAGATCAATGGCAACTTTGATCCTGGAATGACTTGTTAGGTTCTGAGGATCCCAAGAGCCGTCACTGTGTACAGGAGGACAAGCACACCAGTATAGACGGAAGCTCTAGGAACATCTGCTTCTCTTTCTCTGCCTTCTCTCCACTCTGTGCATACTTTCAAGCTCAAGATAACCCCAGAGGCCACACACCAGCAGGTAAGGGGACACACAGGACCAGCCCAGCACTCAGTCGGTAGTGTTGGTAGCCGAGCAGGGTGACGGCCCAGTCTGCAGCCCCCTGTGACGTCTTTGCAAACACACGGGGGTCTGAGCTGCAGAACCATCCCATTCTCCGTGGTGCCGGCTCAAGTTCCCGCCCTGATTTTCTGGGCTTAATCCTCTTCCTGTGGAAATCAATAAGGACATTGTGATGGGATGATTCACGTTCAAGATCAGGCCGGAGCAAATTGGAGGCGACATGCGGATTTGAGGGCCCTCAGCTGAGAGGCAAGCCGTCCTGCTCACAGACCCTGTAACCCTTTCCTGGCCGTCCTGTCATCTCTGTCAGTGTGGCCCCTCCCCATCCCCAGGTCCCCACGGCCTTTTCACGCCTGTGTGGCGCTGTACGTTACATGTGCCCAAGGCTCTGACCACACACGTGGGTCTCGGTGGTTTGGGGAAGGCGGACAGCGGGTTTGGGAGCAAGCTGAAGGTCAGACACTACGTGTACAACCTCGCTGGTTGCGTCCTGTCCCGGAAAGCCTCTCTCCCCTCAGGAGAGCTTTTCTTTTTCCAGGCCTCATCTTCCCTGAGTTGTTGCACATGGGGACCAGGAAGAAGTGGGGACCAAGTTCCTCAGAAGTG